TGCCCCACAGAGTCACTGCTGAAAATGCAGTTGCTTTAAATGGCTATTCCTTTTGTCAGCACATTTCTTCAAGTTTGCTCATCATTTGCCTCTAATTTCCAATAAAGCTTGGATATAAAAAGGTACACTAAGATCATTATTCAGCTCTTTTTATTTATACGGAGAGGGATGCAAAATAAACGTTTACTTTGGGGCAGGTGATACAATCTTTTGGGTTGTTTTCTTCCAGTAAAGGCCATAATTAATCTTTTGCAGCTTTGTACCAAAAGGTTTGCTGCAACATTAACCTAATGCTGCCACCTTTGACTTGCCTCGGTTTTTTTAATGTTATAAAATTCAATCATTCCCGCTTAGCGTTAGTATTGTCTCAAAGTCAACAAGAAGGCAACCGAGGAGCTCTGAAGAGAGGATTAGCCAGCAGAGAGCTAGAACATTCAAATAGCAGATAAAGGTAGTGTACACCCTCTTCAAGGCATTACCCTGCACCCCTTGCAGGCCACCTTTGGGAGCAGTGGGTCTCTGAGATAGAATGACTTGGACAAGCAGCAGAAGAAATGACTGGGGGTAGAAACCTGTCAGACAAACCAGCTGAAGATGGACTAGACTGTACAGTGATGGATGAGCCTGACTCTGAAGGAATAAGCCTTTCAAGATGACAGTGAGGCGGGTAAAGTTGAGCTGGATAAGCACACCAGGAAAACACACCAAGCTACATGTTATAGGGACGGAAGCCTAGTACCTCACCCAGCAATGAGCCATCCAATTTACAAACCTATTAATGGCTTCTTGATGAGCAAAAATATGTGATGAAATTTATCCATTTAATATGGGTGAAATCTGATGTGATTTCACCTGAGGGACAGCAACAGTCCACAAGCTTTGGGCAGTACAAATGACTAAAGAAAAGACCACAGGATGATGTTGTCAAGGGCCACCATTAAAGAGACAGTGATTTCTTGGAAGAGGCCACCTCTGCAGTAGTAAGAAAGGTGAGGATCACAAGCAGACACTACAATGCCAACAACTCAAAACAAGCATACTCACCTCAAGGTTTTGAAATGCCTTAGAAAAGTGCTCTTTTTTCCTCAAGTGCCAATCTACACTAGATGATAACCTTTTGCTACTATCACTTATCACACTTGCTCAAGAAGGACAGTGGCAAATCTAACCATTTAATTCTGAAGAGCCACGCAGATTATCAGTGTTGTGGCACACAGTGGAAACTGACGGGTTCTTCATAGCATGCTTTCCTTGAAAGCTTGGGAAATCTTTCTCTAGGCACTAGTATGTCAATCTTGTAACACTGGGAAATGTCAGAATGAGGTTTACACTTGCAACCTTAATTGTGTCTTTTGCATCGATGCATTATTAATACAGTATTTAAGTAAGTGATTAAACACTATTTTCCACTGGACATCTGCATCAGTGCTGAGCAAGGCTCAAGTCCAAAAAAAAGTTAGAAGTGTAATAAAGGAGCATATTTCCTTATATTCCTTCAGCTGTGTATGGCAGAAGCTAAACAATAACCAAAGAGAGCAAGCAAGCAAAGTTAAGTTTCTGGCTAACATAGAGAAATGACCAGCAGGACATTATTTTAGCCCTGTTTTCAACAGAGCCATGCTAAGGGAATGAGTTTGTAACAGTGTAAGCTGACTTACAGAAGGTCCTATTTCTTTTCCTGACTGCCTACTCCCACCACTTCTACCAGCTCCAGCATTCTTCAGACCCTTCCACAAGACGCTGATCTGGCAGAGGATAACCAAACAAAGAGACTGCATAGCCTTCTGCCAGATCCATGAGTTAAATCAACTCACAGAGCTGACAGGAGGCAAGAGAGGGTAGCAGTATCTCCCCATGCATAGCTGCAGAAAACTTAACAACAGCTGCTTTAGCACATGAAGAAATGCTAAGGAATTGGGAAACTTCTGGCATTAATCTGTGTATTAGACCCCACTTGTAACATGGAGATAATCACATCCTTCTCACCATCAAGATTAAACGCCTGTGAGAGACACAGTTATCAGAGCAGTAAACGTTACAGAAACACCCCAGAGAAAAATGAGTACCTGTCTTTAGAGCCAGCCTCAGTAGTGTTCTAAATAAAGGCTAGAATAAGGATGTAATAAAAGACTCTGCAGCCACTCATAATTTAGCATGGCTTATTCTAAAAGCCTAATGAAGCAGAAAACCTGTGGAAAAAATGATGTCAGTATATATATACACACAGTGAAAGGGCTAAAGTAGGTTCACAGAAGACAGATTTCACAATCCAAAAGTTCTTTTTACACAGCTGTGAGCATTTCATTTTCAGAAGCCCTGAATCCACGCAGATACGGGTGAACCTTTCATCATTAACTCTGGTTATCTGCAAAGATTATTTCTGAGCAAAAATACAGATGAATCAGTGAGGCTGTCACCATTGAGAAAAACCTGGAATGCTATAACACTACACAGTGTGACATACAATCATAGAATACTTAGGGTTGGAAAGGACCTTAAGATCATCAAGTTGCAACCCCCCTGCCATGGGCAGGGACACCTCACACTAAACCATATCACCCAAGGCCCCATCCAACCTGGCCTTGAACACTGCCAGGGATGGAGCGTTCACAACTTCCCTGCGCAACCCATTCCAGTGCCTCACCACCCTCACAGGGAAGAATTTCCTCCTTATGTCCAATCTAAATTTCCCCTGTTTAAGCTTTAACCCATTACCCCTTGTCCTATCACTATAGTCCCTAATGAAGAGTCCCTCCCCAGCATCCCTATCCCTATCCCCCTTTAGATACTGGAAGGCTGCTATGAGGTCTCCACACAGCCTTCTCTTCTCCAGGCTGAACAGCCCCAACTTTCTCAGCTTATCTTCATACGGGAGGTGCTCCAGTCCCCTGATCAGTCTCATGGCCGTCCCCTGGACTTGTTCCAACAGTTCCATGTCCTTTTTATGTTGAGGACACCAGAACTGCACACAATACTCCAAGTGAGGTCTCATGAGAGTAGAGTAGAGGGGCAGGATCACCTCCTTCGGCCTGCTGGTCAAACTCCTTTTGATGCAGCCCAGGATACGGTTGGCTTTCTGGGATGCGAGCGCGTACTGAAGCCGGCTCATGTTCATTTTCTCATCAACCAGCACCCCGAAGTCCTTCTCCACAGGGCTGCTCTGAATCTCTTCTCTGCCCAGCTACATCCCCCCCTCATTTTGTTGTCCACTGGCATGTTTCAGAGACTGGAGTGATGGGGATACAACATGCCAAAGCACAATTCAATGGGAGCTGGATAGCTTTGGTGAGCATTTGATGGGAGTACTTATAGTCTCTTTAAAACCATGCCTCCTAAAACCATAATAAAACAATCTCTGATGAGTAAGAAAAACGTACAAGTACGCTTTACAACAAACCTATCAATTTAATCAGACTTGGAAAGTCTTGGTTTCATTTTCTGCTCTGTGCCAGACATCCTCTGTGCCTGAGGCAAGTCACACTGCTATTACTTGTACCGATTCCTCCTCCATACAGTAACAAAGATGAGACTTCATGAGGTATCAGGAGAATGCTAAAGCTTGTGAAGCAATCAGACAGAACAGTGATGAGCATCCCAGAAAAGCCCACACAAACGTCTTCTCAATATTAATTCATTTTCACTAATAACACAGTACGTGGTACAGCTCAGTAAAAGTTGTCAAACTATCAAAGGACATGAACGGTTCAGTTTGAAATATAAATACATACGCACAGAAACAACTGCAATACATAAACATGAAAAAAAAAATCCCTCTCCATTTGTTTGGTGCTTTCAACAACTGCAGCGCACTCCATTAGCATAACAAAACCCACAAGAATCCACGAGTGTGGGAGATAGGCAAAGTCTGTGAAGACAGAATTTCTCAGCTCCCACACTGCCTACAAAAGCATGCTCCTGTCCAACCACTTATTCCAAACCTCCACCTTGCTCCAGATCCAAGTTCACTTGCAGCAAGCTTTAAAAAACAATTCTTGTTACCCTGGGCTGAACATACTGAACTGCATTAGAGGTGTCACATGCAGCACTGTCTCACACAGTGAGAGACGTACCGCTTTGGCTTTTCCTTTGACCCGACTTGCAAAATCAAGAGAGCTAGCAGAACACTGCAGGGCAAAAGCATAAAGGCTCTACCTGGCATCCTGCCAACGAGCTGTAACAGATTTTGGTGCTGTGTTGTTTTATATATATAGCAAGAAGCAGGTCCCAGCCTTCTGCTCAAGCTTCAGATTTCCAAACGGTGTGAGGAGTAATTGCTTGTAGAACAGGCTAATTCTGAAGTGAAAGAGGGCACAGGCAATGGTGTGAACAATACTGGCAGAGATGCCTGATGTCAATCAGGAAGGAAAGAAATGGAGTATCTGTGGATTGTCATGTGGATTAAAGCAAGACTGCTTCAGACAGGAGAAAAAAACAAAGGTAAAATTTGCATGGAACTGGACCTTCGGCCTTTTGGTGTTTTATGCCTTCAGTGTCTCCCACGATCCCATTTCTACACGCATGGGTCCATCTGTATTTGTAACCACATAAGAGTAATTTAAGGTAAGTTAGCAAAACTGAAAACACTAACTTCAACATCCCAAAATACTGCTCAGGGAGCAGATGGGGAGGAATAAAAAAGAGCAGTAACATACATAACCTGGCAGACCTGAATTGCTTTACCATATGAAACTTGGATAAAATGCAAATTAAGGAAACAAACATCCAAATTAGAGTAACAAGATTTTTTAAAAGGGGGGGAAGGGAGAAGAGTTTAAAAGAACCTAAAATCTGACAATCTATAAACAGCCCTACAGTTAAAAATGTACAGAAAATTCTCAATCACATCTCTGCCCATCAGCGTTATGACTGAAGAGAAGACGTTTACTTAAAGAAACCAAAGACATTTTAAAAACTGAACTACTATTCAAAACCATTATGGAGTTATTAATGTGTTCATCTGAAAAGGAAAGAAAATGTAAAGAAAAATATTGTGAACTTACTATCATTTAGCGTCGTGAAGTCAAGGAATCGATATTCATAGCAAACATCTATCTTGGTTTCTACCTGGGGCCTCTTCAAAGTTGAATAGATATTACCAGGTCGTTTTTCATCATGCTTCTCTAGTTTGTTCAATCCACAACCCATTTCAGCAGCTCCTGAGGCAGGGAAGGGAAAAGGAAAAATGCATAAATATCATTCATTTAGGCTTTTTCTTTCCAGCTCCATGCACCACACTAGCACATTATGGGGACTTTTAGGTTTTAAATACAAACTAAAAAACTAAATTACAAACTATATGAAATAGTAGAATTAAATAAATGCTCAGACAGTAACTGAAGTACAAACTACTCATATCAACCCTCAGGCATGCTATTATTTTATTGGAAAATTGACAGTTTAATGCATGTATTTTGCATCTTTCACATGTATTCAATAGTAAACTCTGGAAGACGCATACACCATTATAAAAAGTGGCTGAAAATGCAAAATAACTTGCTAATATAAGGGTTGACAAATTAATAACAAATTCTATGTATGCAGTTACTATGAGAGCAGACAGTATTAACAGAAACCTCTGTAACATTCAAATGAGTATCTACATCTGTAATTCAGTGGAAAAGGCAGGTTTGCAGAGAACTACCAGCATTAAGAAAACTACCTCACTTCCTTCCATCTCATTTTCTCAGGTAAACCACAGGAAATAATGGCACTTCATAGAAGACATCTTCACGCCAGAAAAAGCAAATGGCCACAAACTGGACTAGGTAAATCTAGTTCTCTTTAATAAGCTGCTAGTCCACAACATTTTAAAGGATTACTCCTGACAACCATTTCTGCTACACAGTAAATGTTTCTCAGCATCCTGCACATCATGGCTCATCAAAGTATGAAAGAATGGAGAAATTGCTTGGTGAAAATACTCAGATCATCCCAATCCATCCCTGGCAGTGTTCAAGGCCAGGCTGGATGAGGCTTTGAGCAACCCGGACTATTGGAAGGTGTCCCTGGTCATGGCAGGGAAGTTGGAACTGGATGATCACAAGATCCTTTCCAGATGAAACCATTTTATGATTCTATTAAATCCTCTCGCTCCTTTTCAACAATGCTGCTTGGACTGAGGCAAATTATTCAACCAGCAGTGAGTTGAAGAGATGAAAACACACCATCATGAAAGGATGAAGACACACCATCCAGGCACCTGAGGTTTTTCATTATCACCCACCCAACATCCTGCCTCCTCCACCAGGAGAAACTCATGCTTTGGCAATGGGAAGGGAAATGCACTCAGTGATGAAAAGGAGCTCCCACAGTCCAACTTAGACACTTTGAGGCATAGGATCCATTCTGCATTACCAAGATCAGCATTTCAGCCTCCCTGCAAGCTCTAACAGATAGCAACAAGCACTGAAAAACTTCAGTCACAGAACAGGGCTGCCTTTACCTCAAGAGCTATTAAACCTAAAGAAGAGAACGAAAAAACAGTTCAGGTTCCCTTCCTCCAAAGAGGTTCTTGTAAATTTATGCCCTGTAAGCTCCATCCCCCCCAAATAGTTAGAAAGTGAGTCAAATTTCCAGCCCCAATGTACCTGAGATCTATTCACAGAAATTTATTTAACATATATTGTGCTTTAACTTTTGTCATTTTTGTCTCTCCCTCATATTTCCTTCTGAAATCATTTTTATGAATACTTACCAAATCCCTTCTCATATTTTGCTGGGATAAATGTGCTCTCTTCCTTTCCTGTCACTTACAAGACAGAAGCTCTGCTCCCTTCACCACCCCACTCACTCTTATTTGCATCACTCTTGTTTTAATTTCTCTACATGAACACAGGTGACCATATGCTCAAAATGAAATCTTAACAAGGGCTATTAAAATAACATTGATGCTTCAATGTCTCTACTGCAAACAGCATGCCTACTGCACCTAAAATCATCATTCACAGATGAATCACATTCAAGGTTTACTGTCAGCTTCCCAGAATACAAACCCATTTCCTTTTGGTTTTTATCCAACACAGGTAATCGACAAGTTTGCAACTCATTCCCCATAACTCTTCTCTATCCTTCTGCATTTCTACCACTCAGTAATAATCTCACCCCTGGAAGAGCTGGGATGTCTTTCTAGGCTCAGCAATGCCACCCACCTTCACATTGTCTGCAGAGCCTGTAAGGGCACACCTACATCCTACTAATAAATACATCAGATAGGACTGACCAACACATCAAACCTTACAAAAACACCACAGTAATTATATGATTGCATAGTAACTGGAAGCAGAAAAAAAATGCCAAAATTCAGTGTGTTACTGAACTGTGTTACTGAACAGCAAATATTGAAAATAACCTGCCCTGCTTATTGTGAGAGAAAAGTAAAGACTACTTTAACAATTTCTATAAACAAAAGCTAAAGTTTGGGATTATTTTTTTTTCTCTTTTGGTATTTACGGTTATAAAGCCTCAGATCATTTTCTGTTCCCAAAATGACACTTTCGGCCTTTTTTTTAAGTGACAACTGCTACATTAAGCAAAAGATTATTCTCTTACATGCAGCAGCTTCCTTCTTTTGCATGTGCAATATGATTAGCTTAAGTCTAAAATGTTACTCATTTTAATATATGGATCTCTATTGTATAATAACATGCCTAACAAGATACTATGTTGCATTTCCATGGACTGTAACACCTAGCAGTATGCCTGTGCTTTATTTAATACATTGTAGAGTGAGGAACTAAGATAGCAGTAAGTTTGGGAAAGTGTATCAAATTTCTTGTTTCAGTGCTGACCCAGTAATTCTCACACTTCATAAGTACACAGTACAGCATTTCGTAAGGAAAAGAATTCCATTTCAGAGGTCATCAAGCCACAGTGCCTGCAACCCTTAGTTACACAAAGAGTCTCAAATCCACAAGACTCTTCAGGCAGTGATGGCTGCAGGAGGCCTCAGGGACACCGTATTTCACATCACAGAGTTTTGCATTCTTTCTTAAATTGGGGTTAAAGTGCCAGAAAATAGAAGCCTGCTCCTCCAGCAGCAGCCACAGATGCTCTCCTGTGCTTGTCTAGCAAACATTTCCTTGGCCCTTCTGAGAAAAACAATCCATCCTCCCTGCCCATGCGGGTAACGATCTCTGCAAAGAGTGCCAACCACAAGTCACTCAGCATGGACATACCTGCCCACCTGGGGCTGGACTGAAACGTACTTCTTTTGTGTGAGTATGTGAGTGCTTACCACAAGACTGATTTTCACCTTCCTGCTGCTTGACTAAAACTTCAATTATTATCTTTGAAGATAAACTCTTTCCCCCATTCTGTTAAGTATGGCCAATTATGTTACTAAAGCACATATACAGCAAAGAATGTTTTCACTTGAATAAAAATGAGAGATCAGTAGAAAAAAATAAGTTTCACAGCATCACAAAGTCTTTCACAGTAATTAGGATGCAAGTGCTGCAGCAATAAAAGATGAATTTTAAGAAATAATGTTCCTATTTTAATGCAGAACTACTAAAAAAACAATGAGAACTATGAATATGAGATATATGAATACTTGAAGTTGTCTTAAAGATACTGATGTTCAGCCTGGAGAAGAGAAGGCTGCGTGGAGACCTCATAGCAGCCTTCCAGTATCTAAAAGGGGATAGGGATAGGGATGCTGGGGAGGGACTCTTCATTAGGGACTATAGTGATAGGACAAGGGGTAATGGGTTAAAACTTAAACAGGAGAAGTTTAGATTGGATATAAGGAAGAAGCTCTTTACTGTAAGGGTGATGAGGCACTGGAATGGGTTGCCCAGGGGAGTTGTGAATGCTCCATCCCTGGCAGTGTTCAAGGCCAGGTTGGACAGAGTCTTGGGTGACATGGTTTAGTGTGAGGTGTCCCTGCCCATGGCAGGGGGTTGGAACTTGATGATCTTAAGGTCTTTTCCAACCCTAACTATTCTATGATTCTATGATGTGTATATGACAGGTAATCACAGAACCACCAAATCCTCCTCAATGTTAACCCACAAACTTCCTGCTGGGACAGCTTGCTTTACAACCTTCCAGAGACCTTTAACATCAGTTATTACCCTCTTCCTTCCTTTCCTTTGCAGCAAAGTTAGTGCTGTTCAGTCTTTCCACCCTCATCTGAAAATAACTCCTTGCTTTTCAGTTACAAATCTAGTTGTCAACAGGACATTATTCACCTTCTTAGTTTTTTACAACGAAGTTATCAGAGTGATAATCACTGATGCATTTAAAATCATCTAAACCCACTTCAATCCCCTTTTTCAGCAGATATATTGTTTTGCTATAAGGGATGCTTAAGGTGTACTACATACACATCTGGGTTTTTACACCTGCATGTTAATTCTACATTTTTTACTCAGTGTTAGGACAAAATATTATCACTAACAGTCAAGGTTTAGTAAATTAAAAAAACAATTCTTAAAAAACACTGCCAAATTTTCAAATATTTTTTTGCTCTGCAAAAATGTAAAAATTATCAACTCACTAGTTCCACACTTACAAGAAATATCTTGAGTAAGATAAGAAATAACATCTAATTAGGTGTATTAACCACTAAAATTAAGATTTAGCTATGGGATCTTCCAACTACACATGCCAGAAAACTAATCCTGTCCACAAACACACTTGAGACTGTGAATTAATCTTACGCATGCTGCATGATCTTGGTAATATCCAAAACTGTTCTTGTGTTCAGCCACGTGCTGATAAAACTAGAACCGAAACCCAGATCTAACAACAAACTGGGTAGGGTTTTTTTAGTCTATATCTCATTTTAATTTTGCAAAATATCAAAAATGGAAGCTACGATGAGTTTCAGAACAACAGCAAAGCCTATAGTCTATTAATCCCTAAATTTGTCTTGTAAATGAAAGCAAAGGCTCCCACGGGTTAGGAAATGAGCATCTTACTTCCGAAAACTGAGTTCAAAAATTTAACCTGGGATTTGTTCATCCCAAGCAAATGTTCAACTAGCAAGCCAGAGAATGAGCCTGTTGCTTCCACCTCCTTATCCCTGTTATTGTCCCTTGTTGTGTATTTTAGGCACAGAGGAGCTCTAGGGGAGTGTCTGAAGAAGAGGACAGAAACCCACACCGGCATGGCAAATGACCTGTCCCTGAACACTCCTTCTCAATGCAAGTTT